TGGAGAATCGGTCGGAATTGGTGAAGAATCGGTGGAATCGACGGTTTCGCAAAAAAGTAAGTGAGTTTACTATTCTGAACAAGTCCCAGTTTTTTATCGGATCTAGGACAGTCATGGTGATTCCCAATCCAAATCGCCCGATTCTAGATCGGGTCATCGATTTTAAAATCACTGCTTTTGAATTGAGTCATCCGGCATTTGTCGGGAACGGCTCATAGAATCATTCTATAAGTATTGGGTTGTGTAAGTATTGGTTGTGGTTTGCATGGGGTTGCAACCTTAAACAATCAAAGTAAGACACACCTCCAAATTCTATCATAAGATGTAATTTTGACGTCAAACATTCTCAGGATAGTGTGAGAATCTACTTTCACCTCTAAGTATAAAATTTTTAATTTTAAAGATAGGTCAAATCAAGTAGATCTATAAAGACGATACAGATAATGTGTCACAAAATTCATCATTTTTGGGATTCATTTTTTTTTTTTTTCATAGCTATTAATCTCGATGTTGAGATGATCAATTTGAGGATTTCCACTGTCAAAACAATATTTTTCAATCAATTTTTGTGGTGCATTTTAATTCTACATTTTAATGTTGCAATCTTATATAAACTTTTTCCCAATTTTATTTAGTGTATGTGATAGTTTATGACCTCAAGAGGAGTCTCCTTGCAAAGGAGGAAGTTGTACATTAACTCCCTTGGGCAAAAGAGTCCCATGAAAGGATTTCTCTCATCCAAAATTATGGACTCCACCCAAGAATCTCTAGATGATTATAAGTGTACCATTGAATATACTGAACATTAAAAAAAAAATAGAAAAAATATTCTGAATATACTGAACATTCAAAAAAAAATAGAAAAAATATTCTAATTTCAATGACGCATCCAAACCATCCAATTGACATCATCTAATGGTTGGTTGGGAGTTCAGCAAACCATCCAATTGACATCTAATGGTTGGTTGGTTGGGAGTTCAGCAGTATTATTTGTGACATCCTTCTTCTAACAACGGTAAATGTTGTCATAGTATATCGCCAAGTTTGAAGACACTGGTTTAAAGTTGAGACACGACCCTGTCTTTAAACATGGACAAACCCAGTAATAGAGATGGGCATGAGGTTGCAGGTCCCTTATCAGTTGGGGTGAACTATGGCGTGATGGGAGACGAACTTGCCGGCATCGGCCGATGCCGTTTCCCTAATGAAGAACAATGGCTTCCAAAGAATCCGGCTAGTCGACACCCCAACACTAGGGTCCTTGACGCCACGCCCTCAAGCAGTCGCAGTAGGAGTCGAGAACGAAGGCCTCACCGCCGACCCAGCAGCAGCAACCACGACATAGAGTTCGAATATGTCGTGGTGGGCAACGAGCTCTGACGCCCCAAATGTGGCACCTGCCATGCAAAACCTCCACAATGCCCTCAGACAGGCCGGGTGGATTGTCAAGGTCACGACGGCCGTCCTCACATTATGCCTCGGAGTATCTTTTCCCCCTTCCGCAGGGACCTTCTCAGACGATTCCATCTCTGCAATGAAGTCCTTCTTGTCCCAAAACTCCTTCCCCCTCATGGTGAACGATTACCCGTACTTTCCCTATGCTTAAGACCAAGAACACGTCCCCTTCCACTTTCCCCACCCACCTTCAATGCGCCCGCCCGGCCCGGCACAGTCGTCCAGGAAGGGAACCTCCCCTACCAGAACCTTTTCGACGCGATCCTCGATGCCATGTACTCCGCCTTGGAGAAAGTTGGTGCCAACACAATTGACATTGTGGTCTCAGCGTCTGGATGGCCGACCGAGCGAGCGCCGGCAATGGCAACATCACGACGCCTGCCATCGCTGGCGACTACAACTGGAAACTGATATCGCATGTGAGCTCCGGCAATGGCACGCCAAAGAGACCTGGGAGTCTGCTACTGACCTACATATTTGCACTGTTCGATGAGGATCAGAAGCACGCAGGAACGGAGCAAAACTAGGGGTTCTTCTATCCCAACATGCAGCCTGTTTATTCAATCTCTTGATGAAAATTTTGCTCCTTTTCTTTCTTAAATCTCGATAAACAAAAGCTAGAGAGTGTTTTTTGTTTTCTTATACTTTGTAAGGAACATTTGAAAGAATAAAGAAAAGGTTCATATTTTTATTTAAGCATATCTCTCACGTTCTCTCTCTCTCTCATGTGAAAGCTTGACTCGTGTTATGGAAGAAACGTGGAGGAATATCTAGAAAGAAAAAAAAGTGTTTAAAATGCGGCTCAGTTTAGTGGGGAAAAAAAGAGTGATTTATATATGACCTTAAAATTTTAAGTAAAATACGAAATGCTTTGTTTTGTAGGCGGAAAGAAATTACAAAGAACATCGATCAACCGGTTTTTTTATTTTTCAAAATTGCCACTCACTCAACTTGAATTTTAATTTTTTTTAGTTTTTTCCGTTAGTCACTGCCCTACTAGCAAAAAAACTAAAATCAAAAAATCAAAAATCAAAATCAAAATCAAAATCAAAATTCGGGTTGAAAAAAATAAATAAAAAGTGGGTTGACTGACCTTCTTTGTTATTTCCTCCTTAGCATTTCTTTGCCTAAAATTTTAGGGTTCATACGTAAATCACTCAGAAGAAAAAAGAAAGGGTTTGTACGTAAAATCGCTAAAAAAGAAAAATAAAGCTTCACCTCAAAATTCACCAAAAATTATTGTTCTAGTGTCGAAAAACTTTCAAATTGATCATCTCATTCTTGATCACTATGGTTGTGAAAAAAATATGAATTTCAAGCTTTAAAAATAATGTATATTACAACACATTATCTAGACCGTCTATTTTCAAGTGTCGTGGATCCCCAATATCTATACTAATTTTTGAACTACATATTTCATAATTGGTAGTGGAAATAGATACTAGAGCCATTTGAGGGTTCCTCTAGACAAGATTTTGAGGTGAGGCTTTACTTTTTTGGTAAGGCCCAAGCCTTATAGAATCTGCATCCATCTTTCAACTTGCCTTTCCAACAGCGAGTGGATGTACTTGGCCTCATGGACCATGTCTTGTATGCCTACTCTGTTGAGCAAAAGAGCAACTTGGAAGGAGGTTTTTAATATTTTTTTTTTAAAAAAGTAGATTTTAGGTTTTTGAACCTTCTAAAGACTGGACATTCCCTGTTCAATCTCGAGATATTATTTTAAAAAAAATACATGCAAAGTGCAATTTGAGATTTCCTTTATGCAATTATTTATTAGATTTAAGACATTATATCTCCACAAATTGATTTCCCGGAAAATTACTTCGAGATTCGTTTTACCCGATTCTCTTTGTGAGATTATTTATTAGATGGGTGTGGTTTTTATAAGGTTAGGACCATAACAATCTAATAAATAGGCACCTCCAAATTTTATCATAACATGTAATTTTCGTGTAAAAATCTTTTAAGATTATCTGAAAATCCATTTTCATATCTAATTATAAAAATTTGAACTTCAAAAATGGTTAAAATCAAGTAGATCTATAAGCATATGAAAATCTTGAAAATGGACGGTCTAAATAATGTGCTGCAAGATGCGGTCAAAATCTTTTTGTTTTTTTCATATTTATACATCTTGATATCCAGATGATCCAATAGAGATTTTTCAATATTAAAACAACTTTTTTCGATAGATTTTTTAGGTGCATCTTTGATTCTACATTTTAAAGTTTGCAACCATATGTAAACTTTTCCCTTATTATATTGAAGACACTATATCTCCAAATTTTGATTTCCTAAAAACTTACTTCTAGATTGGTTTTACCCGTGGGAGGGAATGGGCGGTATGCTCTAGTGGGGGTGAAGAAATTTTTTTTTGGGGGATAGTTTGTAGAGAAAGGGGCCCTACTTTAGTAGGAATTGAGCCTAGGACATAGTGTTGTAAATCGTCAAGTACTAACTAAAGCCTAGGGGTAAAGAATTTTTTATTTTATTAAAAACCTAACTTAGTTTTTTCATAGTGTTTTGTACTAAAATACCCCACATATTTTAGAGAATATATTACAAAATAATAGTAATTTAGAAGAGTATTAGTATAAATTTCAGTATTTCAAAACACCAGTTCCTTGGGCTGCTTTTTTGAAAGGTTTCTTCAAGATCACTATCTCCATCAATATTCGACGTCTGTGATAAGGACAAAAAACAATGGTTTAAAACTTGAAATAGTGAACATTTGAGTTGGATCGATAAAGGGATTATATGCTATAGGAGATTCTATGCGACAAGTATATTCATAGAGTTATTACAATGTAAAATTTGGCAGTGAGGTGTGTTACAAATTTTTAAAAAATTATATTTTGGACAATGTGCCCACTGAATTACAAAGGTCCATCACATTACCTAAAGTGTATTGTCTATAAATAAGGTAAGAACGGTGTTTAAAAAATACAAAAAAAATGGTATTTTTAAAGTTTTTTTTTTTTTTTCATATTTATGATCATCTTGGCCTAGATGAATCTATAAAAAAAATTTAAAAAAAAATCATCTAAAATAAATTTTAGTGGAGAACCGCAGATGTGTATATGAGTCGGTCCACTCATGGAAACCCCATCCAATAATTAATAATAATTATGATTTCCTTGTATCAAATGAATGGTTTTATTATATACTATTCTTTGATATAATTTTCATGTTAAGAGAGCACATTTTGATTTAGAATTGTATACAACAAAACTATTTATTTTTTATATAAAGAGGTTATAATCAATTTATACAAAATTAGGTGGTTGAAAATGTGTTATTAAATGTGTACAAAGTTCAAAATAAATTTATTTTTTAATATTTCAATATGTGTATAAATAAATTTATTTTTTAATATTTTGATATACTTAAATCTATCCGATTTTATATCCAATGGTTAAAAATAACTGTAACCTATAAAAGTGGATGGTTTTATACTGTTTAATTCCCTTTGATTCTCAGTTAATCAAACGAAAACACACTTTAGCCACTGTGTATAAATTTTCTCATAAGTTTATTATACTTTCTCGTAAATTAATGGCGAATATGGATAACCTCCTCTGTATCTATGCACTGACCACTCAAAGGCCCTCTACATGTTTCTGGACTCTCTACTTCTCAAAGCTCTCTCTCTCTCTAAGTAAAACCCACTTCTCCACCCTTTCACCCATGATTTCATGCCTTGGGTCTGCAACCATGGGGATTTGCAGGCCCCTAAACTCCAACAATTATCTTCTCCAGGCTTGCCCTTCACTTCAATTCAGCAAGCCCAAGTCACTCCAGGTCGTCGGAGCGAAAAGGGCCTCTTCTCGAACTAGTCGGCTCGATAGAGTGAAGAAACCCAACACCACAACTACCACAAAAGAGGAAGAAGAACCACTTATTTCGCCCGAAAATGAAGTTGCAGACGCTACTTCTGATGTAGATGATGGCTATTTCTTGCCTGAATTGCCTGGCGATAAGCCGGATTTTTGGGAGGGTCCTCAGTGGGACTGGTTGGGCTTTTTTGTTCAGTATATGTGGGCCTTTGGGGGAGTCTTTGCGGTACTTTTCTTTTCCTTTGCTCTTTTTCTCTTTGATTTTTGCTGGATCATTGCAATTTTTGTGTTAGATCTTTTGTGGGTTTTATTGAATATTGATGTGTTAATAGTTGCAGATACATCTCTTATCCGCTTAGTTTGTTTTGAATATGTGGTTTCCTTTTTCTTGGTAGAATGATCTGAATATGTTATTCATTTACTATTCATAATTTCCATATATTAAATTTTTTTATTTGGGTTGATATTTGTGGCACTTGGCAAGCCTGATGTTTTTCTTTTATATGGTTTTTATCGAAAATTGATTTATTAATCATTGTTGATATTCCTTCCCCCCCCCCCCTTTTTTTTTTGTGAATGATTTGTTTCTCTTTTGTAGTTTCTAGAATGATAAGAATTCATAACTCAGAATACTATTTTTGGTTTTCATGTATTTAATTCTGAATTTTGGGTTGATGTTAAGTGGAAAATCAGAGTGTTTGTAGATCGAGAAGATGCTTATGCAACTCCAAAATATGATGATTTTTCCTGTAGTTACTTTTTTTGCACCTGCTATATGGTAGCATAGGGCAGGGGCCTCTTTAAACTGGGAAAATAGGTGTTATCTGGTTTCTTCTTTTTATGATACAACACAGTAAATGGAGATATTTAATCATCTTACTGATATGGGATTGTTTGAACAGCAAGGTTACTATGACCCTGGTAGCCTAAGGTCAAACTTCATTCATTTAAAACAGTATATGAATGTGAGTACATTGTGCAACATATGATAATGGAATTATAAAGGTTGAAACACCTCCTAGTGCCTTTAAGAGACTGACATCTGTTCACAAGGAGTGAGCGTCAAATGAGAGAAAAATTGATGGATAACAAATAAGGGTAAGGAGCTATGGCTTTGAGTAAGTTGAAGCAAGCTGCTGAGCTTGTTGTTATATCCAGCCTTCCTGTCTAGATAACCCCGGCTTGCCTCCCATAATCTGATTTCCTTGATACATTGCTCCCAAATTATCATGCAAAGTGGGTCATTGAGATGGTGGCAGCACCTAATGAGCATCCAAATTAAGAAACACAAGCAGTTGGTGAGATTACCTGAGGTTCAAAATTGGAATGTAATACCGAAAACCTCCAGATTTCTAATGTTGGCAAATCCAGCCAGATTGGGCTTTCCTGGAGTTTAATTTTGGTTATTATAGCCAAACAGCTAGTTCTGGGAGACAGGTAACAACCTAAGAGCTTGGATACCCTTTTAAAGATAAAAAAGATGTAAACCTCTGCATCTTGCTATCAAACTCAAGATTTAAAGATTCTTGACTTCCCCCTGCAATTTTTATTTTGAAAACCTAATGTTTTGTGAGCTTGGAGAGAGCCTTGGTTCTAATCCCTTTTAGGATGGTAAGGCAGAACACAGTGGTGGCAATGGACCTAGACCCGACTACGGACCAATGGGTAGAGCCGACCCGGGGTCCAGACATGGGTCCAAAAATTGGATGTCTGGGTCCATGTAGACCCGACTCGAATAATGTTGATATTTAAAACAATATTTAATGGGAAAGCTTTTTATGTTCCCCCTACAACATAGAAGTTCTATCCTCCCCCTACCATCCAGCCGTCCATTTTTTATCAAGAGAGCCATTCACCGTTTGATCTTAGATCCAATGTCTGAAAGTATTTTATTCTTATTTTTTTTAATACAATTTTTTGGAATATGAAATTTGGCATGTGCCATATTCTCATTGGGGCGCACCTATAAAAAATATTCACGATAATTTTTCGATAAAATATAATGACCAAAATACCCCTTGAAATTTTCAGAGGTATTTTAGTTATTTTATTTTATTGAAAATATTCTTTTTATATTTTTCATTACTGCGAGTTTAATAGAGGAATGGACGTCCAAAATTTGGTTTCAAAAACGTTTATAGAAAAAAAATTAAAAATAAAACAGTGTAGAGATGTGATATTGTTATTGGGGCAATCTTTGCCCTCCATTCAAAAATGGACGGTTGGAGAAGGGGGAGGATAGAACTTCTATGTTGTAGGGGGAACATAGAAAGCTTTCTCATATTTAATATATGATATTAAATAATATCTAAATAAATAATTATATATATATTTAGTTATAATATTAAATAATATATGTATATATTTAACAACTTTTTTGAAATATCTTTAAGGGATTGTATTCAAAGATACCATTTATTTTTGGTATAAGGAGGTCACAATAACTTTTGGTCATTGGATATATATCCAACAGATGATAATATGTCACGACATTCAAGAAGTTTTATTTGGAACTTTGCGCCCAAACAATGGCACATCATCAACCACCCGATTTCAAATCTAACGGTCAATGATGATTGTGACCTCCTTGTATCAAAAGTAAATGGTCTCATTGTATACATTTCCTATATTTAAATATATAGATATTTTGATTTTTGGGTCGAGTCCGGTCTGGGTCCCACATTATTTTTTCGGGTCCGGGTTTGGGTTTGGGTCTGGATCCCATAATATATTTTCAGGTCTGGGTCCAGCTCCAACTTCAGCTTCAGTCGGACCCGACCCGTTGCTACTTGCTACCTCTAGCAGATCATGAAATAAGTGTTCAAGAGGGACATTGTGATTGATATTAATATGTACCTGAGAAAGCAACATTCTAGGGGATGATCGTGAAACCCATTTGTTGCTAGTCTCCTTACTTTTCTTTCTTATTTTATAACCTCATTTGTTTTTCTTGACATTCACTATTTGGTGGAGATTTCAATAGTAGAAAACTTAGTGACCCACATGCTGGTGCTACTTGGCCCTTTTCATTTAGCTTTTTCCTGATGAATTAAATTTTTGGACGAATCTTTTCTCACGTGGTACTCTTTAGATATTCTTCAATCTTTAAATATTCATCAATATATTGCCTAGGATTCTACCTGAACATTAACAAAGTGAAGGTGAAAGTTATACTGCCCTAGTCTTTAGGAGTGTTCACTTTGTTAAGCTACATCCTTGTTTAAGCATAAAGGCAACATTTTAATATGCATATTTTTAGTGGCCGTGATGAGTTTGGGTTATTTTTGAGTCTTGGTTCCCAGTTTATCATGTCATCATTTACCTTATTTCTATTAATGTATTTACTTTACGCTTTATGTGGATTTTATTGCATATCAATATGTTCTTGTGTGAATTTTGATCCCTAATCGCTTATTGGGTCACAATGGGCTAATTTGAGCAGTGGCCTGATAATGTATCTTTATGTTCCAACGAACCTGGTTGACATACAAATGTGATTCACTTTTCTTATGGACAAGGCGATGGCTGTAAAAGATTTGTCCAGTTTTCGTTTTCTGTGAGCCCAGAGCAAAGAGTAAAAGACCCATATCTGGATCCTTTTTGTTATCTAGTAGTTACTCTAATATTGACTTTAGCTTGTATCTAGAATCTACTATGACTTCAGCTTTTCATATCTTCTGTAGGTGTGTTGTTTTCTTGTTTCTGGGCCTATCACCTGAATTAATGCTTTTTTTTTTCCCTTCATTATTAATAATTTATCTTCAAGAGGCACAGCAAGATTTGTTTTATTGGAGATTTGGAAGAGGTTCTAGAATATGGGATTCTTGATAATCCTCAATTACAGTCTTTCTTAATTCTGCCTACAACTCCTTCTTTTTTTCTGGTTGAAACAAAAAGCATCATATAATAGGGCTGGAGATCTCTAATCCATGTTTGATCTATGGGCACATAGTTTTCGAAGAACAAAAATCGATCATTAAGTTCAAATAAATACCTTATCGAAGTCATATCCATAAATATCCATAGTATTTTGGCTTTCTTGTATATATGATATGTTGTCCATAACAGTTGAGTATTCCTTTTGACAGAATCATTGCATTTCTAGGGCTAATGTGGAACCCCTGCTCAACGCACACACAGAGCATATATATAACACACACACACACACAGAGAGAGAGAGTAGTTCTTTTGAGTCTTATTTTGCTCTCTTTTCTCAGTTAATTGCATGTGGTGTCGCTGTTGCCACATACAATGAAGGTGCAACTGATTTTAAGCAGACACCCGTTTACAAGGAATCGGTCCAATCTCGAGGATTGTTTGAAGAGCCTGGAGCATCAGATTCTGAAGTTTTTGAGGCTAACCCAACAGAGGAGGCGCCTAGCTTAGAGTAAACTGATGAAGACTTAAGGTTTCATATTTGAATATAGATTGTTATACATATAGCTCTGTAGTTTGTAAGTTCTTGTATGATCCTAAGCTTCAAATTTTCTAATTCTGTAATTTTAAACCATATTCTCTTTCTTGTAATGTAATCATAAGCTTATTGCAACGGCGCTTTCTTGAGGCTGTTTAATTATGAATGCCGTGTAGATTATTTTATGAGAAATGGTTAAATTGGTGCTGGCCCATGCAGCAACGTTGAAGGAGAGAAACAAGCTAAAAACAAAATGGAAAACTACTCTTCCAACACTATTTTACATTTTATATTGGAAAAGTATACAAAGAGACCATTTACTTTTCATACAAGAAGGTCACAATTACTCCTGTCTATCAGATTTTAAATTGCATGATTGTAAGAGTTTCATTGATGACTCAATTAAAAAAAATTCTCGAACTTCATGAGACATCTGAAGCCATTCAATTTGACATTTAATGGCTAGGAGTAATTGTGACCTCCTTGCAATAAAGATAAATGGTCTCATAGTATACAATCCATTTTATATTTGTAACATTCAGAAGCATTGTCCAAGGATATTTACATTATACACAAGTCCTTACATGACGTGTACACATATGACATATCCCAATACTTTTAAAATTACACCACTAACCCTAATAATATTCATTTTGTATCCACAACCAAGTAAGAAATTAGCTTTTGTAAGATGAAAATACCCCTTGTGTTTAAGATAATTTCTCTTTTTCTCTTACGAAACTTGAAATTTGAAATTTTAAAAGGAGAATCAATCTCAAAATTTTTAGCAAGAGAAACAGTCTCAATTTTAAAATTTCAAAGACAGGAATAGAAAATTTTAAGAGAGAGAATTATCTCATATTTCAAGTGTTAGAGAGAGAAACTATCTCAATTTCTAGATGATAGAAACTATCTCAAATTTCACGCTCTTTAGAGTGCAATTCTAAAAATTTGGAAGTCTTGAGAGAAAGTGATTTGATGGGAAAGAACATGGATTTATACACAAAGGATATTTTCGTCCTAAAGACGCTACTTTCTTGTTTGAGTGTAGATGCAAAAATAAATAGTATTTCAGGTTAGGAGTGTGGTTTAAAAAGTATTGGGATGGAGCACATAGAAACTATAGTTCTGGGGGGATCTATAACTTTCCCTATAACATAAGCATTATACTAAGTATACATAAAAAACAAATGTGCCTTTATCAGTCATATGTCTGCACATCCCCGCATATGGGTGCATCAATGTCCAACTTATAACCTTTCCCACTGAGGTCCTTTAATAAGAATGCATGTGAAGTAATAAGATGTTCTCAGATAAGGAGTGGAGGTAATTTTTGAAGTTATTTTGTCACGCACAAATGATAGTCAACTTCAATGTGTTTACTGCACTAGTGGAGGGTCAATTGCTATGTGGATGGCATCCTGATTATTGAAATAGATTGTGATATCCTCTGAAGAGAAAAACCATATATTTAAGATGTGCTTTCAATGGAGCGAGCCACAACATTGTGTTTTCTGCTGCTTCATGTAACAACAAAAGTGCAATGGCAAGTAGTGTATTGTTTATATAAAGGACATCCAACCCAATCTACATCAGTATATCTGCTTAAATCATTTCAAGCATTGTGGATACTAGAGATGATTTTTTTAAGTAAGCATTGGATGTAATTGATTATCTCAAGCCGGCTAGTGCATGGAGTGTTCACGAATTTACCTGCAAGCATGATGCCAGGTGAGGAATTTTCAGATAATGCGACCCAGTGGTCAAGATCCTCTAATAAAGTACCAGGATTGAGATTTGGCTTGAAATTTGAATCCATCAGAGAGTCCATAACGCGAACTGCCAACTTCCCTGTTTCAATGAGATCTGAGGTGCACTTACATTGGGATATAAAAACCTCTCTTCCATCATGCAATCTCAGTGCCCAGAAAGTATTTTAAGCAGCCCATAACTTTAATATCAAGCCGTTTGCACAGATACTCAAGTTTTTGGTTCTTTAGTATCCTAGTGACAATGATGTTTTCAACTTATACAGTGGGCCCCCGCTAATATAGAATAATCTGAGTAGCTACTTGTATATTCAACAGGTAGCATGGCTTAGCCTAGTATCTCAATCCATCGTCAATGAGATTGTTTTAGCGCATCTCAGTCTTTCTTTAGGCAACATACAAGACCTACTAGTACCTGGTGACCAAGAATTTGGTCAGTAGTATATGTAGACTTCTTCTCGAGATCTCCATCCAATTGGAATATTTCCCTTCTTATTTGGTGCAATAAGAAGAATGACCCAAACAATTCCCATCTTAGCAACATAAGCAAATGTCCCATGGTAATTGACTCTGAAACTTTTGATAAAGCTCTTGGCCACGAATCTGGCTTTGTACCGATCTTTGGTACCATATGAGAGCATATAACCTTATACACCATTCAGTGTTCAAACATTCAGCCGCCCGACTGTCTAGGCAAGAAAATTTTAAAAATGCCTAGGCGGGCGTAATTATGCACCCTGTCTCTAGGCACCAGGTGCTACTTTCTAGGCACTGCTGCGTGACACTTTGCCAACGGGCGAAAGAAAACCCTTGGTGAGGGTCAAAAAATATAATTTTTCCCCCCTAAAAAGGGGGGGAAAGGATCTTGGGGGGTATTCTAAACCCCCAAAACTAAAACCATGGCCTTTAGGGTGAGACAAACCCCCCCAAAAACCACTATTTTGTGATTTATTGAAAGATGGATAAATTGTTTTTTTCGATTTTTTCCCAAAACAAAAGTAATAGTTCGTGGGTGGATTTGGAGCTTCTAGTAGTTGATTTTGAGAACCTTTGGTGACCTAATAGACGAGGTTTGCACCGACATCGATTTGATTTTGATATTTTTAAAGGATAATCATATTTAACAGAGGGTTTTAATTTTATTTTGCTACAACATATTATGTTATGAATCATGTGTTTTTACTTTTACTATTTTTTTTTCTTTTATGATATATTTACATGTTTGTACTTAAAAATTGAATTTTTTATGAATAATTGAATTTTTTCTCATTTGGACAATAAAGTTGAGCATATATCGTATTCTTTTATGAATAGTTGATTCCTTTTTTGTACAATGTGTCATGTTTTGATATTCTATTATTTTTGTTTTACTTTATTTGATAAATAATTGATTATATGATATCTTAATGGGTCAAGTGTTATGTGAAAGTGAAACTTCTAGTTTCCTACAACGACATTTGGGATTTGAAGCATTTTAATGTCTTACAACTTACAAGTTCTCTTTGACACTTATATCATCCGTAAATCTGTTATGTGATTGTAGTATTGTATTGTACTATTATGTTTTCGCCTATTTCATGATCACAAGGAGTTTGGGGCTCAAAAATTTCCCTAAAAACTCCCTAAGACATTAAACTATGCCCGAAGAACTCCCCGATTTTTTTTGTTTGGGGTGGGAGGGGGGGTTTCAATTTGGTGAGCACACCCTATCTCTAGGCAGGCGGCTGGGCGCCTAGGCGGCCAGGCACCCAAACCACCTAGGCAGCCGAATCCACATTTTTTAACATTGACACCATTCTGTCTGGATCACAGGCCTTGTTCTTTTGTTGTCCCAAGTTCTATGGAATTTTTCCATTCAAGGCAGGTAAGTGCTTCATAAAAGGTTTTTGGTTCTGAAACCGAATCAAGGGAAGAAAGAAAAGTACAATGCAAGAACAATATAGCTGAGTAGGAAACAAATTTCTCAATTAGATGAATTTTCTTTTTCTTTGTTCAAGGAAATAGGTAAATCAAAATCTTACAGGGGAATACCTGGGTCATGACATGATTCTCGAGAGGGTTGAGGAAAAGACAGGTCGTCTTGTGGATCCACATGTTGTTCAACAACAGGAGTAAACTTTCATCGTAAGTCAAAAAGGGAGGAGGAGACTCCTGTTTAGCAAATGACTAGATGGCGCAGATGGTGTAATAGAAATTGGTGAAACAATGTGATCCTACTCCTCAAATATTTCAAATGATAATGTGAATCCTTAGAGAAATGTGACATTTTTCCAGAGAATGTAACATTCATTGAATAGCTTAGAAAAATTGCACCTGATAGATTTAGGTTCCGGCTTATAGATTTGGTTACACCCATAGATTCTAAGATGTTTTGAAGTTTGTTTGTGTTTAGTCCACCTGTAGGATGAAATGTGGCCTAAAACATCAGTGGGTAACCTAGTTATTATGAATGATACAGCAGATACAACATAACACCAATAAATATTATGCATATTCATAGTAAACATAGTGACCCTGGTAACCTCTAGAAGTGTCTATTCTTATGTTCTGCAACCCCATTCTGCTATGCATAGAAGGGTAAGATGTTTGATGAAGATTGTCGTTTCCCTGATGATCTCAATTATGTGTCGATTAATGAACTCTGTTTTGTTGTTAGACCATAGATTCCAGAATGTAGCATTATTATTGTGTTACGATCATTTTATGAAAACGTCAAATATAAACACTACTTCTTCTTTAGATTTAATCATGTAAATCCATGAAATACAAGAACAATCATAAAAAAAACTAATAAAATACTTATTACCAACAAGACATAACCGGCTGGCCCCCATTTATTATGGATAAATCAGACCAAATAGTTTGTCAAATGGGCTCCATAACCAAAAAAAAAGAAGAAATTTGTAGCCTCTGCTCCAGTTGTGGCCGTGGCTCTTTATTCTGCTTCTACGCTTGTTCTTTTTATAAGAGACATCATTGAGGAATTGAACGTCTGCTAGTTCTGAAGGAACTATATGCCAATTGATGTGCCCCCCTCCCCTTTCTCCATCCATGTTTCAGCTGTTACGGCGACAGCTTGATCCCTTTCCTTTTCCAGGGTAGTTTCTTACAACCTAAGTTCTCTTCCACCAAAAAAGAAATGAATCAGTCAACAGCAATTTCTTAACTTTATCACACCGACTTGACCATTTTTAACGTTAGAATGAGCATTCTCAACAAGACGGCAATTGGCATAGTGTGAGTGTGGTACCTTGGAAGTGGGATTTTGACGAGGACTAACACTTAATAATTATTCAAAGACTTAGACCGGGACTTTACCGAATTTCAGAAAACTGTAAAATGAAGTTTGATTGGTGGCCTAAACGAGTGTGCCATGAGTTATCGTCCTCTGTTGGTGTTGTGAAATCCATACACTT